GGGGGGGGGGGGGGAAAGTGGAGAGTGAAAACCCCATCAGAGTGGCAGATGAGAGACCAACAACCAAGCACGTCTGTATCTTTGTATTTCCCATCTCTTCACAGTGCAGTGGAGCAGCCACTTCAAGAAATCACTAAAGGTATCAAAGAAGTTTTAAACCTGCTTCCGGCAGCCACCTTTTAACACTAGTGATGATCTGTGCCACCACTCCATAGGGAAGCATCTCTTATGCCATCTAATGATCTCCAGACCTATAGGATAAACTATAGGGTAAACTGTTTTCAGTGATCAACAGCAAAGGAGTACCAGACCTGGAACAACAGCACCTTGCCCTGTAGTGGTGTGACAGCAGGACCAACACTTCAGGCAGGGGCACACAGGCAGGAAGCTCCTGTCCCTGGGGAGGTTTCCCTCTCTTTGGGACAACACCCCACGAGCAGGAGTGACATTAATGCACTGAAAAGGAGGTCTGTGTCAAACACATCCCTCTCGCATGGCTGCCCATGGCTATTTCTCCTGCACTGCCTCCCACAAAGCACCAACCTGGTGGGTGGTGGGGTGCTAACGTGCAAAGGGGGATGAGTGCTCCTCTTGCCAGTGAAAAGCTAAAGACTCTGATTTTAACTATTGAGATTCTCTGTTTTAGAGAGGCATCTTTCAGGAAAGAGGAAGGCAGCTGCGTGGCTCCCCAGGGTGCTGGGGCTTAGCTCAGTGGGAGGAGAGCAGGAGCCAGCTGCCAGCCCCAGAGCTGCTGAACCACGGACCCACTCCACTGCAGCTTCAACCCAGCCCTCCGACTGCCAAGGCTGAGAAGGTCGAACTCGCATCTGAAGTCTTGGACACAAAAACTCTCCCTACCACATACACCACCTCAGGTGATCCCCTCAGAAAAGCAGGTTTTGTCACTGTCACTGACAAAACCTCATTACTGGACAGCACACAGTGCCACACAGCTGTTCCCTCTGTCCCTCTTCTGGCTCTTCGTAGGCTGCCCCAAGTAGACCTCACTCAACTGTAACTGCAGGGAAGTGTAAAGAAGCCAGCTGGCTCCTTTCAATCTGCCTGGTAAAACAGTATGACGTTGAAGTTGATGCTCTGCACACACATCCAGGCTGTGCAAAATGTACAGAGTTTAAAAAGTTGCTACAGGTAAAGGGGAAAAGGCGGTTTCAGGCTGTCACATCGCACATGCAGCAGCAGTTAACAATGTCACTCTTCACACAAGTGCAGTGGATTGGATTATGTTTGCTGTTTTGTGAAAATCCAGTGCTACTTCAAGACCTGTGTAGTCTTTCCAGCTTCACATCTGTGAAGTGGAACTTAATTTTGACCCAAGTATCAAGTCTGGATATGGCCAAAGCCTTAAGCATCCTCTTTCCTGCTTCTAATGAAAACTGCATCTGGCTCTAGGGCCCCCAGCATAAGAAGGACATGGACCTGTTGGAGTGGGTCCAGAGGGCCACGAAGATGATCAGAGGGATGGAGCATCTCTCCTATGAGGAAAGGCTGAGAGAGTTGGGATTGTTCAGCCTGGAGAAGAGAAAGCTCCAGTGAGATCTCATAGTGGCCTTCCAGTATCTGAAGGAGGCCTACGAGAAAGCTGGAGAGGGACTTTTTACAAAAGTGAAAAAATGGAGTGATAGGATGAGGCGTAATGGCTTCAAATGGGAAGAGGGCAAGTTTAGATCAGGTATCAGGAAGAAATTTTTCACTCTGAGGGTGGTGAGGCACTGGAACAGGTTGCCCAGAGAAGCTGTGGATGGAAGTCCCTGGAAGTGTTCAAGACCAGGCTGGATGGGGCTTTGAGCAACTTGGTCTAGTGGGAGGTGTCCCTGCCCATGGTAGGGGGGTTGGAACTAGATGTTAAGGTCCCTTCCAATCTAAACCATTCTAAGTTTCTATAAATACAAAGCCAATTCAAAGCAGGGCGAGCATTGACGAAGCACACCACCACCACCGCCTCTTCCCTCCCACACGCCACCCCATGCGGGGAAGGGGCCCACCCCACCGCGTCCACCTACCTCTGCGTGGCCAGCGTCCGCACGACGGAGGAGAGCAGCTGCCCATCTTTGGCTGACACCTGCATGACATACTGGGGGCAGCTGCCGGCCGGGCCGCCGCCACCGCTGCCGCCGGGCAGGGTCTTGCCGTCGGCCGCCGGCGGGCGCGGGCGCTCCGGTGGGACCCCCGGCAGGTGGCTGCAGCGGCTGGTCCTCATGGCAGCGGGTGGTGGGTCCCCATCTAGGGAGAAGGGAGGAGAAGGTGGTGGGCTGGAGGGAAGGGGGCACCTCCCTCCCTCTCTGCTACTCCATCACACGCATGGACAACCAGGCCTCAGAAACAGCGCTCCCCGCTCCCAGCCCTTCCAAACCCGCTCAGCAGGGAGAGTGAGCTCACACCACCACGTGTGGTGGAAAAACAGCCTGTACCTCTCAGAAACAGCAAGCCAGGGACTCTGCACTGCTTTCTTTTTTACCTCCGCAGACTCCTAAAGTCACAAGTGACAAACGGAAAGACTGAACCTTTTGGTCTCTCCTCCCTGGGGAGGTTTCCCTCTCTTTGGGACAACACCCCACGAGCAGGAGTGACATTAATGCACTGAAAAGGAGGTCTGTGTCAAACACATCCCTCTCGCATGGCTGCCCATGGCTATTTCTCCTGCACTGCCTCCCACAAAGCACCAACCTGGTGGGTGGTGGGGTGCTAACGTGCAAAGGGGGATGAGTGCTCCTCTTGCCAGTGAAAAGCTAAAGACTCTGATTTTAACTATTGAGATTCTCTGTTTTAGAGAGGCATCTTTCAGGAAAGAGGAAGGCAGCTGCGTGGCTCCCCAGGGTGCTGGGGCTTAGCTCAGTGGGAGGAGAGCAGGAGCCAGCTGCCAGCCCCAGAGCTGCTGAACCACGGACCCACTCCACTGCAGCTTCAACCCAGCCCTCCGACTGCCAAGGCTGAGAAGGTCGAACTCGCATCTGAAGTCTTGGACACAAAAACTCTCCCTACCACATACACCACCTCAGGTGATCCCCTCAGAAAAGCAGGTTTTGTCACTGTCACTGACAAAACCTCATTACTGGACAGCACACAGTGCCACACAGCTGTTCCCTCTGTCCCTCTTCTGGCTCTTCGTAGGCTGCCCCAAGTAGACCTCACTCAACTGTAACTGCAGGGAAGTGTAAAGAAGCCAGCTGGCTCCTTTCAATCTGCCTGGTAAAACAGTATGACGTTGAAGTTGATGCTCTGCACACACATCCAGGCTGTGCAAAATGTACAGAGTTTAAAAAGTTGCTACAGGTAAAGGGGAAAAGGCGGTTTCAGGCTGTCACATCGCACATGCAGCAGCAGTTAACAATGTCACTCTTCACACAAGTGCAGTGGATTGGATTATGTTTGCTGTTTTGTGAAAATCCAGTGCTACTTCAAGACCTGTGTAGTCTTTCCAGCTTCACATCTGTGAAGTGGAACTTAATTTTGACCCAAGTATCAAGTCTGGATATGGCCAAAGCCTTAAGCATCCTCTTTCCTGCTTCTAATGAAAACTGCATCTGGCTCTAGGGCCCCCAGCATAAGAAGGACATGGACCTGTTGGAGTGGGTCCAGAGGGCCACGAAGATGATCAGAGGGATGGAGCATCTCTCCTATGAGGAAAGGCTGAGAGAGTTGGGATTGTTCAGCCTGGAGAAGAGAAAGCTCCAGTGAGATCTCATAGTGGCCTTCCAGTATCTGAAGGAGGCCTACGAGAAAGCTGGAGAGGGACTTTTTACAAAAGTGAAAAAATGGAGTGATAGGATGAGGCGTAATGGCTTCAAATGGGAAGAGGGCAAGTTTAGATCAGGTATCAGGAAGAAATTTTTCACTCTGAGGGTGGTGAGGCACTGGAACAGGTTGCCCAGAGAAGCTGTGGATGGAAGTCCCTGGAAGTGTTCAAGACCAGGCTGGATGGGGCTTTGAGCAACTTGGTCTAGTGGGAGGTGTCCCTGCCCATGGTAGGGGGGTTGGAACTAGATGTTAAGGTCCCTTCCAATCTAAACCATTCTAAGTTTCTATAAATACAAAGCCAATTCAAAGCAGGGCGAGCATTGACGAAGCACACCACCACCACCGCCTCTTCCCTCCCACACGCCACCCCATGCGGGGAAGGGGCCCACCCCACCGCGTCCACCTACCTCTGCGTGGCCAGCGTCCGCACGACGGAGGAGAGCAGCTGCCCATCTTTGGCTGACACCTGCATGACATACTGGGGGCAGCTGCCGGCCGGGCCGCCGCCACCGCTGCCGCCGGGCAGGGTCTTGCCGTCGGCCGCCGGCGGGCGCGGGCGCTCCGGTGGGACCCCCGGCAGGTGGCTGCAGCGGCTGGTCCTCATGGCAGCGGGTGGTGGGTCCCCATCTAGGGAGAAGGGAGGAGAAGGTGGTGGGCTGGAGGGAAGGGGGCACCTCCCTCCCTCTCTGCTACTCCATCACACGCATGGACAACCAGGCCTCAGAAACAGCGCTCCCCGCTCCCAGCCCTTCCAAACCCGCTCAGCAGGGAGAGTGAGCTCACACCACCACGTGTGGTGGAAAAACAGCCTGTACCTCTCAGAAACAGCAAGCCAGGGACTCTGCACTGCTTTCTTTTTTACCTCCGCAGACTCCTAAAGTCACAAGTGACAAACGGAAAGACTGAACCTTTTGGTCTCTCCTCCCCCACAAATTTCACTGAATTTCACTGAATTTTTAGAGTTGGAAGGGACCATAGAGATCATCTAGTCCAACTCCCCTGCTGAAGCAGGATTGCCCAGAGCACGTCACTCAGGACTGCATCCAGGTGGGTCTTGAAAATCTCCAAAGAAGGGGACTCCACAACCTCCCTGGGCAGCCTGTTCCAGGGCTCTGTCACCCACACCATAAAGAAGTTTTTCCTCATATTTGAGTGGAACCTCTTATGTTCCAACTTGTGCCCATTGCCCCTCGTCCTCTCACTGGCAACCACTGAAAAGAGTCTGGCTCCCTCCTCCTTCAAACCACCCTCTAGGTACTTATAGGCATTGATAAGGTCTCCCCTCAGCCTTCTCTTCTCCAGACTAAAGAGTCCCAGCTCTCTCAGCCTTTCTTCATAAGGGAGATGCTCCAATCCTTGAATCATCTTCATTGCCCTTCACTGGACTCTTTCCCTGTCCCTCTTGAACTGGGGAGCCCAGAACTGGATGCAGTATTCCAGTTGTGGCCTCACCAGTGCAGAGCAGAGGGAGAGAATGACTTCCCTAATGCTGCAAAGGAATATACAATCTTCACCTGGTGCACTTTTAAACCTAAAGACTTCCCCTGTCCAACCACGGGGAAAGCTGTCTATCAGAGGAGAAAGTGGCCCATCAGCTCCCAATTCCCTGTGAAATCTCTCCACTGCTGCTAAGTGCTTTCCATCACAAATCCACTGCAGACCTGGCAAATAATCCCGCATAGAGCTTTTGTCACACAGACTTGCTTAATAACAGCCTGCGCACAGTAATAATTTATGCCACAAGGTGAGACAGAAATCACAGCTTGCCTGCGTCTTTCTTCTCTGCTCTTACTCCCATCACTTAAGAGTGTATCTTGCATGATGCTTTCAAGCGTGGTAATTGGAAAGCAAGGGTTATCTGGTAACAAAGAGCCTGGGCATGTAAATTCCAGATACATCCGAAGGATTTTCCTTGCTGGGTGTGCCCGCCTGGGAGAGGAATCTGTGTGATTCAACAGGCAGAGCATCAGGCCACGTGCCTGCAGGCTTGCTCTCCAGGACACTCACCAACAACGTGCCTATGGGGTAGATTAGTCCCCTTGGCAAAAGGGGGGGAAAGACTTCCTAGCATGCCTTGAGACACTTGACTAAGGTCACATGTAAATCCTACAACTTGCTACACCGATATGCACATGTTGAAATCGGGCACATTTGTCTGCAGTACACCTAACCCTCAAAAAAAAAAGCATTTTGCATCAGAGGCCACTGTTACTTGTGTAGTACCAGTACCACAGCAGGAAACTGAGTCTTTAAAAATTAAACATTGATCCACACTATTAAATGGAGGTATTTCTCTGGGTTTTAAAAGAGGTCTTATAATTTGATCTCACTGGATTTGAGCAAATGGCAGTGCTAGCTTTCTGAGGTCTCCTGAATAGACACCTTTGGCAGCAAGATTTTGTAGGTTGTGAAGATGTGATGACAGTGCTGGACCACTTGTACCATGCAAGTTTTCAATTAGGAATTCATATTCTTAGAAAGGCACCTAAAACAGGAAAACGCTTGGCAAACTGTTTGTTTTACAGGATTATTTCAGCTATTTTCAGACCATGCATACCCCAAGAGAGAGAACTGGAGGCTTACAAGACAGCTTACAGGGGATATAGTGTTCAGAGAACGGGGAAGGAAATCTGACTCTGGCCCTCATTTGCAATGAAAATGAAGCAAATGGCTGATTTCAAAACCATTAACACATAAAAGATGCAGACTTTTTAAGAGAATTCGAGCCACAGACTCTCGAAGGAGACCGTGGTATCAGCAACATTTTAGCTTTAAAAATCCATGCTAAGACTGTTTAACAAGAATATTCAGCAGCTGAGTAGCTGCTTCATTAAGCTTAAAAAGCTTAGGCAGTACCATGCTTACAAACCCATGCTACAGAATTATATATTTCTTTTCTGGTTGCTTCACTGACCTCATTAAATACAACAGCGGGTTTATCGTTGCATATAAAGTGACCATCCAACCCTTCACAAACACATCCATCAGCCACTTGATAAGTTCAGACCATTTGCTGCAGCGTCAGATGATGCAACTAAATGCAAAGCTTTAAAGCACATCAGAAATAATGTAGCAATATCCCAGCAATGATGTTAATTCAAATTTCTGCGTACAGTACTGCACTGATATCCCACTTTGGCATAGCAAATACATGCAACCCCTTTTTACCTAACTCATTTTTTAAAGGAAGTTGCAAATTAAAACATATTTTCTTGATTTCAGAAAAATCATTTTTACACAAAATCACTGTAGATGCATGAAAGTAATATAATTATAGAGTTAAATAATATGTGCTATAATACTAAACTCTTTGGTAAATAATGAAAATTGCCCTGAGAAGCACAGAGATCCTAAGCAAATCTGAAGTCAAAGCTGACATTAAGGAATTGTAAATCTTAATAATCACAAAACCCCAAAGTCAGTATTTACCCATATGCATGTATTATATTCTGTCAGAATGTTTATCACCTGAAAGAGGTCAAAATCTGTCACAAATACCTTAACAGAGGAGGAAAAATGAAGAGGAAAAGCAGGAAGATGTGTTTAGATGTTATTTAGGGAGAAATACAATATTAAATGGGGGAAGCCAGAATATCAGCATTTATTTCAGATGCCAGAAAATTCAGAGAAATGTAGCTAAATTTGGCATGATGGATATATGTTTGAAGAAATCTAGCAATTAGCTCTTCTTTTCTGTGTTACTACACCCACTCCTCTTGCACATCTCTTGTCTAGCCAAAATCAATTTTAAGACTGCCTTAGTACTGTAATATTTAAACCAGATCATTCCCCTGTTCTAGTTTTTCTGCTTTGCCTTTGGTACTAGTCTCTGACTCCCTCTTCTCACCTCCATCCTCTGAAGGGAGGTGGCAAAGTCCAACTGTCTTTTAGAGTCCCTCTCCAATTTCAGCACTATATTACAGCCATCACTGGTAAGTGAATAGTTCTTGCTGCATTTCTTCTCTTTACTTTCTTGTGAAATTACTTCAATCAGATATATTAAAATTCAGGGTTGTTTAATCATCACAAATTGAAAAATCCTGAGATAAGGGGAAAGTACTTTTAATGTGTCATATATATGGCAGATTATATATACGGGTCTCTGTGAGTTTATAGGTATCAGGACAGAAGTAAAGATATTGCATATATTTTCTTTGTACCGTAAGTAGGAGGGAGGTGGGGAGGGGGAAGGGGAAAAGCCCTGTTAAATTCTCAGGGTTGTTCTTTGTCCGCAGAAATTTCAAATTCCTGGATGGAAAGAGGTGAGTATAGGTTTTCCTGGTAGGAGGACATAGTGGAACAGCATTTTATTAGTCACTGGTTATAGCGTCCCAGTTGTGAGTCATTCCTTCCGCTTCATTCACTGCTTTATGGAGTAAATATCCCTCAGCGAGCACTGCAAGTCTCACATATGTTCCTCTTTCTTTTGCATTCAGGTTTACAGACATGAAAAGCAACAAGTCTCATAATAACAAGTCTACTCCCTTGTTCAGTTTACACAAGTTAGAGATGCAGATGGTCACAGTAGATTGCGGTTATTTATGTTATTTCCTCAAAAAAAGTGCAGGCACTATACATACAGTTAGTAAATTAAACCTAGCTGTTGCTGCTGAAGCAAAAATCTACAGAAGGTAATGAGGTGCAGTGTACTCAAGCAGATTATCTGAGGTAATGTTGGAGCTGGGTAGAAGATTCAAGTGCAACCTACATCCTTTGCCCCATAGTAATTTATAGGATGTTATTCTAGCAAATATTAGGGATAACTTACACTCTTCTTTTTTTCTTTCCTGATCTGCTGGCTGCTACCCGCAGTGTTAAAATGTAAGTCAGTATCATCTGATTATCTTGCCTCTCTCTGCCCTCTCACCCCTGCTTCATTTTTTAAATCATTCCAAAGTCCAGACTGCGTGCTAGGGATTCAGTAGTTCTCCAGGAGTATCTGGAAGTATTTTTCTTCTTCACATTACAGCAATGAATGCAAATATTTTGGAATAGCCCCACAAACAAATGCCACCAATGCTTGCAATCTTTCTTTCAGAGACAAGCTACTTCTGGGCTTAGTCAACTGTTGATTATTGTCCCCACTGAGCTCAGCAAACATTTTTTTATATGCTGCGAGGTATTTATAGCATATCTTCTTTCCCATGCTAATATTTATTTTTAAGAGATTTATAACTTCTGTATTAAGAGAAACCAGGACACTCAACAAATGCCAGTGAGCAAGGCACTGGTACTCTTATTGAATTACACTCAAATGTGAGAGATGAAAAATTAGCATAACTGCCCTGAAAAGGAATTTACAGAAGAAACCATCTGCATTTACAATAAGCACCTACAACTGGAATCCTTATTGCACTCTTTCCTACTGTGCATGAACTGACCTCATTTCTTAAACCCATGAAGCATTATCATGCTGATGAGTTGAATTATCACAGTAGACCTTTTTAAGCAGTGGGGCTCTTCTGCTGAAGCTGTGTGTGGTTTACATTTGCATGAGAAAAAAAGATCTTACACTTCAAGCAGTGGGTTGCAAAAGTTAAACAAATATTCATGTAGAGACTGTGTGTGAATTGCTCGCTTTTTCCTTTTTTTCCGCACTAAGAATAGCACATATTGCATCACTCACA